CGTACAAGCATGCGCTGGGCATCCATGCACGCGCTGCGCCACGCGACTGGCCACAGCAATGGTTCACCCGGGCCCAGCCCAGCCCACCCCAGTCGCGGCCCCACCTTGCTGACGACCGTGCCGATGGTGCCAAAGGTGGACGAGATGATGGCCGAGGGCGTGGCCACACCAAAGTAGGGGTGGGCCAGCGCCGCAGACGCCGACAGGCGCTTGGAAGGGTCGTACCTGCGGTACAGGGCAGTACAGGCGGTACGCAGATGGGGTGAGGTGGGGTGAGTGCAGTGTGAGCGGGGCGGGGCGAGGAGGGAGGCCAGGGCCGTGGGCATGCAGGCAGGGACATGCCAGCGGGCAGCACCCCACAGCACAGCGCGGGGGCAGGTAGCAACACCCCACAGCGCAGCGCGGCGGCAGGCAGCACGTGGCAGGTGGGCGGGCCGCAAGAAGAACAGCACAACACGGGAGGCGGGGCACGCACTGGATGAGGTTGCAGAGCAGCTGCCAGCCGGCGCCGCCGTCTGCGTCCAGCACCGCAAATCCCTCGGCATACGCCTTGTCGCCACGCTTCTCCAGCGCCTTGCGCCAGGCATTCAGGTTCCACCCGTACTGCTCGGCCAGCTGCCTGCGGGGTGGAGACAGCAAGCGAGCGGCGGCAGGCTTTAGAGACCGGAGAGATGCGGGCCCACGCCTCCTTGCTTGCCTCACTCCAGCTCAGCAAACAAGTCAGCCTGCCGACTCCCTCGCAACGCCTCCTGCCCCCAGCTGCTGCCACCACGGCTCAGCAGAGAGACCGGCCCTTCCTGGCCACCCGGCCAGCTCACTTGTTGAAGTTGATGAGCGTGTTGTCGCCCCGCAGCAGCGGGAAGGCCATTTGCAGCAGTACCACCCCCACTGAGTACATGTCGAAGCGGTCGGGAGCGTTGAGCTGCCACAGCACGGGGGACAGCAGTGCGGCCACGGGCGCGGGTGGCGCCCTGCACGCAAGGAGGCGCGCTCGGCAGTCGGGCACGGACAAGGGCAGGAATGGGAGACGAGGCAGAGTCCCAGGCAAGCTTGGCAGGACCCCTGGTGGGTCTGCTGTGCCCCAGGTGCCGCACCTGGGCGTCTGCTTGCTCATGATGTACTGCTGCGGCGGGGCGTACCGCGGGTCCAGCAGGTACTGGTTGGGCACGTAGTTGATGCCTGCAGGAAGTACAGGTCGGCCGCAGAGGTGCAGGCTGGAGCATGCCAGGCTACAGCGCACAGGCTGGATGGAGCACGGCCGAGCCGGATGCAGCGCGGCAGGCTCCACAGGCGCGCCAGCACGGCAGCAACTGAGGCGCGCAGTGCAGGCGCGCGGCGCAGCTCCGGCCAGCCAGCCAGCCAGCCGGCGCACCGATGCGCAGGTCTGCGGCCGCCCCGAAGTCAATCAGCTTGATCTTGGAGTCCTGCTCAGACAGGATGCAGTTCTGGGGCTTGACGTCGCGGTGCACGATGCCTGGTGGGAGGAGCCGGGAGGGAAAGAGGCAGGGGAGGACGTGAAGAGTGTGTGGTGCTGTAATTGGGTGGGTGGGGTGCGTATGTGTGTGTGTGCATGGGTGGTGTGTGCGTGCTGGTGGGCATAGGTGTCCTGGGAGGGTGCAAGCGCAGCAGGCCCCGCAAAATCAAGGCGGAATGCAACACCGCCAGCTCCCTGAGGCCGCCCCGTGGTTGGCTGCTCACCCACGGAGTGGCACTTTTCTAGGCAGCCCAGCAGCTGCTGCAGCGCGACGCGGATGATGGCGGCCTTGCGCTCGGGGCCCTTGGGGATGTTGAGCTCCCGCCCGAACAGCGACTGCTCCAGGTTGTAAGGAAACTCCTTCTTCTGCGGGGAGAAGAGGCGCGGGTGGAAGGGAGAAGGGTGTGATGGCGGAGGGAGGGCTAGTGGAGCGTGACCGCCGTGTGGGTTTGCGGGCCAGCGCCGAGCAGCAGAATGGGCGGTTGTGCACAGGGTTCCAGGCTGGGGCGGCGTGCATGCATAGCCTCACCTGCATCAGGTCTGCCAGCGTGTAGTCGCCCTCGTACTCCCACACCAGCCACGTGCTGTCCCCCACCGCCCCCCTGCCGTCGCTGAATGCCGTGATGAACCTGGCGGCCGACTGAGGCGACACCCTCATCATGCGCTCATTCATCCACACCTGGGCAGGGAGCGGTGCAGGGTGCGGAAGCGCGGGGTGACGCGGGGTGGAGGCGGGCCGGGGCGGCCTCCGGGAGCAAGCAGCGTGGTGCGCTGCGCGGCGACACATGCGCGGCGTGCCGGGAAGGGGAGCAGCCTGCGCGGGACCGCTGCAGGCCAGCCCGACGCCGCTAGCCACCCCTGCTTCGGCCCGGCCCCAGCCATGCATCCTCGGCCAGCCAGGCAGGTAGGGAGCCAGCCCACCTCTGCCTCCCCAAACTCAGTCGCCTTCTTCACGATGACCTGCCGCCGCTGCTGGCCCTCCCCCATCTCAGCCAGGTACACCGTGCCAAAGCCGCCCGTGGCAATCTTGCGGCCCATGTCAAAGTCCTCCTGCGCGCGGGGGCGGCGGCGTGGGTGAGCGGGCAGGCAAGCGGGCAGGCAGGCAGGGGAACACAGGAGGCTTCCGCTCGAAGGGTGCCAACGCCCGCAAGCGCTGTGGAAAACCATCGGGCCACGGCCCCAGGAATACCCCTCCTCTTGCACACACACAAAGGGGCACACACCTTGCCGTACACCTTTGCTGTCCTGGCCTGCATGGGCGCCTGCAGGTATGTGTCTATGAAGCCCGACAGCACACCAGGGGCGCGCGTGAGGTAAAAGGCGGCGGCGGCCAGCAGGGCCAGGCCCTGCGGGTTGATGCCCCGCTCCTCCATCCGCAGGACAGGGTCCAGTGTACTGCAGGTGCCGCGTGGTGGAAAGCGGCGGAGAGTCACTGGTGGGGGCGGCGGCGGCACGAGCGGGCAGGCGGGCGGCCAGCAAAGCCATGTGCACGCCGGGCGGCAGTGGCAGCGGAGACAGGAAAGCACTCTGGACGCAGGCATGGGGCCAAACGCCAGGGCGCAGCCAGTCGGGCATGCACCCCTGGAACAGCAGGCAGGCTGCTTGGCGTGGCTGGTGGAGCGGTGCACCGTGGGAGCTGGAAGCAGGGGGTGGGCGGCACGCACACCTGCGGTGCGTCAGGTCTCCACAGTTCATTGTCGAGCAGGGCAGCACAATGGGCTCGTAAGCCAGCGTGAGCAGGTGCTGCAGATGGTGCAGGCCGCTGACCGCCGCATCCACGTGCTCTGGCAGCAGCGCGGCGCTGGGTGCCGCGGCCCGGTGACGTCGTTGCCGCTGCGGCAGCGCGGGCGCCGCCGGCCGCCGGCTGCCGCCGACCCCTGCTGCTGCTTGCCGGGCTGGCGTTCGCTGCGAAGGCATGACGGAGACGACGAGGGCCTCCATCGCTGCTGCGGGGCCCGCTCCAAAGCGGGTGCCGGAGTGCTGGAGTAGAGTCGGTGGTGGCCAGCACAGAAGGCTCTCGGGTGCACTTTTCTTGCAGTCTCAGGCTGCCTGGATTCTGGGATTATAGCTGGAACTGCGAGATATGCGAGGTGGGAGGGCTTGAGGCCCGAAGGCCAGCTCACGCCATCATTTAGATGTGAGCCCCTCTCGCGCAGTTCTCGCAATCCTCGGCTCCGCGCCTCGTTTCCCACCTCGATTCCGGCCCCGGAAGGCCGGCTTGGGTGCGAAGGGCCCTGGCCTCTCGTGTTTACCCTGCACCCCTGCCCCTCTGATTGGACTTTCCTGAGCCTGAGGGAACCAATTCGCGAGCAGCGAGCAGCCGCCTAGAGCAGGGCACTGCCGCCGCCAGGGCGCCGGCACCGCGCTCGGTGCGCCACTGAAAGAGCTGCGCCAGCTGCTGTCAATCAAACCGTTGCCGGCCTTAGCGACATCTAGGACATGTCGGGCGGGGTGCTGGCGCTGGCGTGGCGGCGCTACCTCCAGGCGCTTGACCAGAAGCCGCTGAAGACAAAGGTGGGGGGTGCATGCTGGGGAGGTGGCGGTGGCAGTGCCTGTCCATCACGGCCTCCCGTTCCTGCATCCCCCACCCGCCCCGGACCCCAGCACCACACTGCTCGCACAACCGACTTCCCACAACGCAGGCCGTCACCGCCGCCGTGCTGATCGCCGCCTCCGACCTGCTGGCGCAGCGGCTGACCAGCGCCGCGCCCACCAACTGGCGCCGCACTCTCAGCATGGCGCTGTACGGCTTCCTGTGGGCGGGGCCCTCCAGCCACTTCTGGCAGCACATCCTGGAGAACATGTTTCCAGACAAGAGCGACGCGCTGCGCAGGTGGGCGCGCGTGTGGGCATGCCGCGGCCCAGCCCGTGCCCGTGCCCTGCCACTCTCTGTGGACTGTTCGTTGGCTGCTCGAGGGGCGCGGTGGCGACGCACACGCTGCGCAAGCATGCACGTGGGTGCACCGTGGCAGACCCACTGCCTTGTGTAGTGCCATTCCACGTCTCCCCAGAGCTAGGCTTGTCCTGCCTCCCTGCCCCGCAGCGTGAAAAAGGTCCTGGTGGACCAGCTGGCGTACGGCCCCGTCCAAAACGCTCTGTTCATGGCCTTCCTGGCCAGCGTGGTGGAGGGACGCAGCTGGGCCACCACACGCGCCAAGCTTGCCTCCGATTGGCCCGGCGTGCAGAGGCGCAGCTGGCGGGTGTGGCCCGTGGCCTCCTTCATCAGCCAGGAGTATGTGCCGCTCAAGGCAAGCTGGCTGGCAGAAGAGCAGGGGCAGCCGGAGAGCTGGGCCGGGGCTGCTGGTGCGGCTGCGTCGTTTGTGGGCTGGCGGGGACCAACAGAGGCTCGGCGTGCGACGGCGTGGCGCTCCCCCCGGGCTTGGGACTTGGCCCGGAGACTGAGCTGCTGCTGCTGCCCTGGCCTGCTGCTGCCCGTGCAGCTGCGCGTGCTGTGGCTGAACGTGGTGGCGCTGGGCTGGACCACCTTCATGATACTGCAAGGCAGAACAGCCAACGCGGCAGTGCTGCGGCTGAAGCTGGCGGCTCGCTGACGGGGCGCGGTTTCGCCCTGCGCTCCCGACACTCTGTACATCACACTCTGACCTCGTGTATCCTCAATTCTGCCGGTAATTCGTGAGCGGCACCTATTCTTAGGTGTGCCCACGCCGGACGCACCAATGTATTCATACTGCCTCTTTTGCCAGCTCTCGTCTTGCGGACGGACGGCATGTGCCGCCACAACACCGCCTTGCATATGATGCTTTGCACACAAAGCCGTGTGACTGATGTGGTGATGCATGGCAGATGAACAGAGCAGCAGGGATAGTATGTGCTTGCTATAACAACAGCAATGTTCAATGATTGCTGAAGCCAGAGGGGACGCACGCGGCGGCGGGGAAGATGCAGAGAAGCGGCGGCACCGCCAGGCTGTCAAGATGCGGTGTTTCCCGGAAGCCTGGTGAGCGCTTCCGCAACGACTCAGTGAACAGAAAAAGGGATAAAACCGGGGTTGCGGGACGGCATTGGCCCGAGCGCAATTCCTGCCAAGCCCTACACTTCCGTGAACTACCGGGCCACTGGAGATCATGGAACGACCAGAGTGAACCGCTTCAGGGGTACCAAGGGCCCGGGCAACTGAGCCCGAGAAATGCAGCCCTCGGCATGGGGTCTGGTTCTGCTGACCCTTCTGACAGCGCACAGCGTGTGCGGTCAAACCGCTGGTGCGCATTGGGCCGTGCGGAGTGGGCTCCTTTTGTTTGCGCGTAGCTGCTGGCTCAGCTGCCGCCGCCGCTGCCGCCGCTTGGCGGCACCGCCACTGCGTCCCTGTTTGGCAGCCACTGCGCATGCTTGGCACTGTGCCCTAGGCACACGCACTGACATCCCCCTGCTCCCTGTGCAGGCGACCTGTTTGCCCAGGCGCTGCTAGCCCAGGCGGCGGCCATCACAAATTGGGATGCGTTCAAGGAGGGCAACCGCATGGCTGGGTGGGACAACCGCACGGATGTGTGCCGCTGGTCCGGGATCACGTGCGGCTCCACAGGGGATGTGAATGAGCTGTGAGTGACGGGGAGGCGCGGTACGCAGCACAGGCCCGGCTGCTTTTCAATCTGCTGCCTGGCGACGGCGCGGGCATGCCGCCTGAGCGCAGGCGTGCTGGTGCCTGGTTCTGCTCGTGCAGGAAGCTGCAGTGCTTCAAGAACGTGGGGCTCTGTGCCGTGCTGGCACAGGGCACCCTGGCGCTTGAGCTGGCCATGATCCCGTCGCTGGCAGTGGTGGATGTGAGGGGCCAGCAGCTGTCGGGTGCGCCGCCTGCCTGGCCGCCGCCTGCCTGAACGGCTGCCGGTTCGGCTGGAGGAGATGTTGACAGCTAGCGAGAGCACGCGGTGCCCACAAATTGGCTGCACATGGGAGCGTCTGCATCCCGCCCCATCTCCTCCACCCTCTTTTGCCTGCAGGCCCTCTGCCGGAGTGGGGGGTCAGCCAGGTGCCCTTTGTGCAGTTGCTTGTGGGCTACACCAACTTTTCAGGCTCCCTGCCGGAGTCTTATGGCTCGGGCATCTTCCCCCAGCTCGCCACACTGTGAGTGCGGGCCGCTCCCTGGCCTGGCCCTGGTACTGCTGGTGCCACCATCCTCGCAGCGCTCATACCGTCTGTCGCGAGGCTGCACTACTGCGCGATTGGTCTGCCTTGCAGGGGCCTGTCCAATACCAAGTTCAACGGCACGCTGCCAGCGTCGTGGGGCCTGCCGGGCGCCTTCCCCAGGCTTCGCCAGCTGACAATCACCAACGTCTGGGGCGCCCCAGCCAGCGAGAGGATCACAGGTGAGGGTCGGCCCAGTGCCAAGTGCGCGACTTCGGCACCAAACATCCATTGCAGAGGCAGCACGGGTGGTGGGCACGTGTGTCGAGGCTGGGCCTGTGCCCCTACGCTTTGAGCGCAGGCAACCTGCCGTCATCTTGGTCGGCGCCCGGTGCCTTCCCCTCCCTGGTTGGAATGTGAGTGCAGAGTGCCGTTGACCGCATGCCAATTTTCTGTGGTTTTTTCTAGCCTTCTGTTGCGCGTGTCTGGCACCACCGCGCCCCCGGTATCTGCATGTTCACCCTAAACCCCCATCACTGGCTGCAGTGACATCAGCTACACCACCCTCACAGGTAGGCTGGGGCAGCTGCTGCGGTGCATAGTGTTTGCCACCTACAGCAGCAGCACTGCTCGTTTGGACCATCCTCACTCTCTTTCTTCCACACATTGCTGCCTGCAGGGACCATTCCGAGCACATGGGGCTCGACAGCCCTGCCAAAGATAAAAAACATGTGAGCTTCTGCCGGAGTGTGTGCCAGGAGCTGGTTGTTTCCCCAGTGATGCCCACGGACTGCCAGGCGGCTGCTCCATCAGCATCGCTGGTGTCCCACACTTCGTTCCCACCGTGCTGCAGCAATCTGATGAGCAACAACTTTTCCGGGGGGCTGCCGGACGCGTGGAGCGCTGCTGGGGCCCTGCCCAGGCTGCATAAGCTGTGAGCCGCCATTAGCACGCGATCATGTCTCAGCAGCAGTGCCAGCCGCAGCCGCCGGCAGGGTGCTTGCTGGCCCTTCCCTCCAAGGCCTGCACTGACGCTCTACCCTGCTGCCTCTCTGCCTCCCATGTCCCGCAGGCTGCTCACCAACAACTCCCTGTCAGGTGAGAGGCAGCCCAAGGCGCAGGCACGCGGTCTGGCTCACACACCGTGCCTGGAGGCACAGAGCCTGGCTGGCTCCCTGCACATGCGCCCGACGCATCCTTCCATGTGCATGACGACCCTGCCATACGGCCGCTGCTATCTGCGCCCCTGCAGGCACCCTGCCGTCCTCGTGGGGAGCCACCCCCGGCGCCTTTTCTGAGCTCACAAACTTTACCATCGACAACAACCGGTTCACCGGCGAGTTTCCCAATGCTGTTTGTTTATTTTTTATACTGAACTTCAGTAAAAATAATAAACAAACAGTAAAGTTCACTTGAAGTGAACAAACCATATCCTGCCAATTCAGCCCTTGGGCCTGTGTGCTGCTGTCTCGACGCCTCACAGGGCACCGCCCCTCTCTCAGGCTTCAAACATGGTTGGCATGCTGCCGCCTGCGCTCCCGCCGTGTGTGCTGCAGGCTCCCTGCCGGCCAGCTGGGGCAGCCCCTTTGCCTTCCCCAACCTGGAGCGTCTCGCGGTTGGCGGCAACCCGCAGCTCTGTGGGCCGGTGCCCGCCACTCTGCAGCCGGAAGTGAGCTTCTGGCTGGCTGGCTGTCGAGCGCACTACCGTGTCTCTTACCTGAGCGGCAAGCTTTTCAGCACCCTGCTTCTGTCACTGTCGTGCCAGGCTGACACCTGCCACTGCTGCTGCCGCGCTGCGCCCTTGCAGGTCTGCTCTGAGCCAGGCAGCTGTGTGGATGTGAGTGGGGTGAACACTCTGGTATGCGGCTACTCACCCCCACCCATGGCGCTGACTCCCAGCCTCGCGCCCAGCCCAGCCCAAGCCTTGACGCCAGCACCGGCGCCCGCGCTCCCCACGCCTGCGCCTTCCCCGCTCACCGCTGCGCCGGCCCCTGCACCAACGCTCGCGGCAGCTTCGCCCAGCCCGCCGCCACCCATCCAATCTTCGCCGCCACCTCCACCACCACCGGGGCCGCCGCCACCACCTGTCTCCTCTCCGCCGCCGCCACCTGTCCCTCCTTCTCCACCCCTACCATCGCCCCCCGCTCCTCCATCCCCACCTCCGCCTTCCCCGGCTCCCCCACTCCCCCCACCGCCCAGCCCCCAGCCCTTGCCGCCCTCCCCGGCGCCGCTGACGCCCAGCCCACCCTCTCCCAGCGTCCTGCTGCTTGCGCCTGCCTCCCCCGACGCATCGCCGCCGCCGCCCGAGCCATCGTCCCCGAGCCCTCCCTCACCTCCCCCGCCCGCTCCAGCCAACGACACAGAGGCAGGGGTCTCCGGCTCGGCAGCGCCGCCAACCTCGTCCTCCTCCTCGGCTCCGGTGGCGGCCATTGCAGCGGGCGTGGCGGGCGGGCTAGGTGCGACGTCGCG